TATCTCTTCCATTCAGGACCACCATCTCGTACGACGTGGTGACAGTGGCGGATTTAGTGCCAAGCGCCGTCTAATACCCTAGTTTGAAGTGTAATGGATTCCGCCACAAGTCCTGATTTAAATATGACCCACAGACGTTAATAAGACGGAAAATATATAAATATGTTACATAAATAACAGAATCTCTATTAGACGCGGGTAACGTAGTTTGCTGGTGAAAACGTAAACACAAACAATTTTCGTCACCAGACAACAGGACAGTGGTCTAGGCAACCCGGAGTTTTCCTCCGGGGGCTTCCCCGGTTTCTCCGTGGCATCCCCACAATTACTCCATTCACACCCAGAAGAAGGCAATGGCAAACCACTTCTGGATCATCTGCCAAGAACGTATATGAACAGGTCCCAGTCCGAGAAAAGGATGGAAGGATCCTGTTCATATGGACCTGTCGTCACACAGAACACTAAATAAATAAAAGGCAGCTAATATATTTTTTTTAAATGCGTCGAAGTCAAAATATTTGGGGACTACTATAACAAAGCAGAATTGCATTCACGGGGAAATTAAGATTGGACCAAAGACAGGGAATGCTTGCTACCTAATAACGTAAAGATTAAAATACAAAAGGCTACTATTTTACCTGTGGTTTTATATCTGCGTAAAATTTGGCCTTCTACTTTGAGGCAGGAACACATCGAGGGCGTATGAGAATAGGGTGATGAGACTATTTGGACCTAAAAGGGATTAAAATATAGGAGGGTGGGAGAAATCTGCATAATGAGGAGCTCCATAATTTGTGTTTCTTACCAAATATTATTAGGATGGCAAAGTCAGAGAGCATGAGAGGAGTGGGAAATGTAAAGCGAATGGGGGAGAATTGCGTACAAAATCTTTAGTTGAAAATCCTGAAGAAATGTTGTTAATTGGAAGATTTAGCCTCAAATGAAAGGATAATATTAAAACGGATAAACTAAATCAGAGTCCGTCGAATAACTTCCTGCACACCACATGTAATGGTTACGCCGCCATGCTTCGCTCCTCAGAACTCGTTTGTGTACACATGAAACACAAATTTTCGCTGACCGACTTCTCCGAGCAGATTAGAGCAGCGGTAACCCTTTTAAATTGCATTTTAGAGGTACTCATATCGATTCTTTGTCGGGATACTGGTCTCCTGACAGAATATTTCGTAGTTTTCCCCAAAGGCTAAGACATTCTTTATAATTGGCCACGACCAACTCCTCCAGTGCTCTTTTAATATGCCTACATACAATTCACTATAATTTTCCCATCTAATTTAATTTATGCGTAACCTCGTAAGCTGAAACACTGTCGCTGAATGACACAACAATCTAACAGAATTAAATCCGCCACTGCCGTGGAAGAACGCGTCTTCAAAAGAAATCGGAGAGCAACTCCAGACAAACAGATTTCCCCTCACATCGCTTCAACTTATTTAGTGTAGGTCACGCAGAATTCGAGGAAGTTCGCCAAGGGACATCAATGCTTCTCGGTTTGTGTGGCTTCCAGTGTTGACTCAACGTAACATTCAACAGGGCCGTGTTTGTAGAAATCGGGTCCATCGTTCGAGGTCGGTCAACAGCTTCCCATTCATTCTCGTCGCTTTCAAATAAACCTGCTTTTGTTATTTCCCAAGACAGAGGGCGCTTGGATCAGCGGACTCTGAAGAAGGGCGCATGCGTAGTTTTTCGATTTACAATCCAACTAACTAACTAACTAACTAGATGGCTTACCGAACCCGAAGGTTCATCACCGAATTTATTATTATTATTTAGTGTTCTGTCTGACGACAGGTCCATATGAACAGGATCCTTCCATCCTTTTCTCGGACTGGGACCTGTTCATATACGTTCTTGGCCGATGATCCAGAAGGGGTTTGCCATTGCCTTCTTCTGTGTGTGAATGGAGTAATTGTTGGGATGCCACGGAGGAAAACTCCGTGTTGCCTAGACCACGGCCTTGCCCAACACAAGTTATGAATTCGGGCACCGCCGGGAATCGAACCCGAGACCCCCAGGATTACAAGGTCAGCGTTCTGACCGCTAGACCACCGAATTAACCAAAGATATCTACATTTTATATCTATCATCTTCTTTAACACTTCGAAACCCTAAACTAATCTAACACATCTCCACGCCTACAATCAAATTGGTTACAGGAGTTCGCTGAAGTAATCGTTTTTCATTATCAGAATCTCACGAAACACAAGGATACAAAATGCGGAATTGCTAATTGTCAAAGCA